ACATGTCGATGTGGGTCCATTGGGGTTAGAGGTTGGTCCATTGGGGGGGGCGACCATATATATATATACGTATACAGATAACGTGGATAACAGTATGTGGTTTGCACATATGTAAGTCATGCCTATGGCTAAACTCGCGGGTCTGAGTAAGACCCCCAAAGCCCGAGGGATGTGAAGCTCCGGACAAGCCTCGATTGGCCGCCTTTTCGTGCCAGTCCAGAATGGCCTCAAGAGGGGGTTTAGGGTTTTTTGGGCTTTGGGGTTTTGGGGTTTAGGGTTTAGTTTAGGGTTTAGGGTTAAGGGGCCCTACACCATAAAGGGTTTATAAATAGGTTTTTATGTATGGGGTTTATATCGGGTCATAGTATAGGGTTTAGGTTCGGGTTGCGGGTTGCCTGGATCCTAAGCCCTAGAGGCCCTAAACCCTAGTTCGGTGCCTTTTTCCCGGCATGCGCAGTTAAGCCCTATAGAATCCCCATATAAACCCTATGAAAACCTATATAAACCTTATATAAACCCCATAAACACTGTAAAAACCCTGTAAAAAACCTGTAAAGCCCTGTATAGACCCTATAAACCCTGCAAACCCTTTAAACCCTAAACCCTAAACAGCGTCTGGGGTTGCTGTAAGCAGGTCGGGTCCCAAGGGCTGACAAGATGGTTGACGGATCGCGGCTGCAGTGGGCCTGCTCAACATTACAGTGTGCTTAGACGGATGGTTAGGGTTTAGGGTTTAGGGTTTAGTGTTTAGGGTTGAGGGTTGAAGGTATAAGGTTTAGGGTCCCAATACTCCCTGGTTCTCCCGAAATCCCTGAGGTTCTCGAGGTAACTCGGGCCCCCGCTTGCCCGTGGACTTCTCGATCTCATCCTGGCGTGTCCAGGGTGGGTTGAAAACCCTCTAAGGTTCAGGGTTTAGGTTTAGGATTTAGGGTTTCGGGGTTAATTAGGGTCTAGGGTTTAGGACTTAGGGTTTAGGGTTTAGGGCGTGCTACTTAAGCCCGGCTGTTCGCTCGTGGTTCGGCCTCTTCGATAGGGATTGATTTGGGTTCTGGAGTGTCTGGTTTCTTGAAGCAACAAGCGCTTGGAGCCCAAACCCCGATGCATTGGCTCAAATAGTGGCTCAAAGAAAGGGGATGATGAATGCTTCGGCAGGCGCCCTCCACCGCATGAAAGAATACATGTAGAGGTATATGAGGGCCCTAAACTGTGTTGTCAGAGCTATAGCCCATAGCTTAGGTTTGTAAGTCCCCTGGAAGAAGAAACCGCTACTCCAGTACAGGGTGTCCCTCATTGTCAAGCGCACAGTCACAGAACCCTCACAGCCATACACGTGCCCCATAGCCCAGCATCCGATGCTGCAGCAGACAACTACCCTCAACCGCCATCCAGGGACTCTATGCTTACCGGCAGCTTACTCAACAACACCTCAACGTTGCAGGTCCAGATCGTTTTTGACTTGAGATGTTCCCCCCCCTTATACTAACCCCTTTATTATAATTTCCACGAAGGACTGCTAGTTTAAGGAGAGCATCCCAAGTCCCAAGGGTTTCGGGTTTTGGCTTCCCTGGACCTCCAGGAGCGCAGTTCCTTTTCTGGGGGGTGACAGGGGACTATGCCTCGATTCCTGGAATCGGGAAACGTTTGAGGGGTTGAGGGTTTCTAGGATATGAAGTAGGTTTTATAATTCTTGGATCCCCCAAAAAGACACCCAGAAATATACACTCACCAATATTAACAAGGAACCTTTTATCCACTCACCAGTAACAGAAGTATAAACCGTGCTTCGTATAGAGTTTAAGGTTTTGGGCGTAGGGCGCAGGACTGAGGGCTTATTAGGTTAGGATGGCCCCAAAAACCCTCGGAAACAAATCCTAAAAACGACCCTCTTAACCCCAATGCAGGAAACCCAAGGCCTACCTAGTAGGGCTTTGAGGTTTCTAGACCCGGGAGTAGCCTAGGAATAAAGAGGGTACCCTTTTTTCGGTTTCAAGGGGATTATAAAGGGAACCCCAACCCTAAAAAAAGGAAAAGAGGGCCTACTCCCGGTCCTAGGGTTTAGGGTTTAGGGAGGGTTTTGGGTTTTGGGTTCACTGAGTCACTAAGTGTGAGGCGCAGTTGTAGACGAGGTCCCGGATCGATGTGATGAAATCCCGGCCTCGTAAACGGACCTCCTAAACCCTAAACTGCTAGTTGCTTAAGAAACCATCAAAATAAGATAATACTTCCTAATATTACCCTTCGCAGGAAGGGGAATATTGGGGGGGGGGGTTCGTAAACACACAGCAGTAAAACCATCTTTCGCGAGATCTTCAGGGCTTGAGACCCTCTCTAAGCCCGAAATCGTGCCAGAGTTGATTATTGCAAGCACTTGAGGCTGGATGCTTGTTTGGTTGGGGTTTGGGGTTTGGGGTTTAGGGTTTGGGGGTTAGGGTTTTAGGGTTTAGGATTTCAGGGTTTCAGGGTTTAGGGTTGCACGGTTTTGGGGTTTGGGGCTTAGGGTTCAGGGTTTCGCATGGTGTCAGGAACGAGAGGGTCAAGCCGAAGGGGAGCCCTCTGATCGCCAGAAAACCCTAAACGCTAAACCCTAAACCCCCCTAAACCCTAAACCCTAAACCGTAAACCCTAAACCCTAAACCCCAAACCCTGAACCCCAAACCCTAAACTCTAAACCCTAAAACTAAGGAAAACTCTGAAACCCGAAGCTTTATTTCAAACCCTAAAACCCTAAAGCCTAAACCCTCAAGCCCTTAAACCCTAACTGCAAACCCTTCGACGACCCTAAGCCACAAACCCTTAAGACCCTAAGATTCATGCGCCCTGGACTGGATCCTAAGATTCATGCGCCCTGGACTGGATCCTCAGACGTTGCAGAATTCAGGCAGGGTTGAGGGGGTCTGTCGGGTTTGGGGTCCACGGTTAGGGTTTAGGGTTTAGGGTTTAGGGTGTGTTTAGGGGGGTTTAGGGTTTAGAGTTTAGGGTTTAGGGTTTAGGGGGGTTTAGGGTTTAGGTTTTAGGGTTTAGGGGTCAGGGTTGAGTGGGTTTTGGGGTTTCGAGGTGTTAGGGCTCGAACGTTTAGGCTTCGCGGTGCACGGGCTTCAGGGGAGGTCATGCCCCGCCACCTCCCCTTTGTGCAGGAAATATACCACCCCAAAGCGGTACTTGGCTACTTCTGGGAGCTAGCGACCCAGAGCAAGCTTGCACCTCAGACAGCGGTATATGTAACCTAACCTTCAAACCCAAAACCCGAACCCCAAAAAAACCAAAGGTTCACTCCTGGGTTTTGAAGGGTAGGTCCTACAGCCTAAACTCGAAACCCTAAAGCATGGTGTGTCCTGAGACCCCCTAAACCCTAAACCCTAAACCCTAAACCCTAAACCCTAAACCCTAAACCCTAAACCCTAAACCCTAAACCCTAAACCCTAAACCCTAAACCCTAAGCCGCCACACCGGCGACTCCCTCCACCCCTCAGCCTCTAAGCCGCTGAACCTCTCAGACCCCTCCCCTCAAGAGCCCCTAATTAGGCCCCTTAAACCGAAAGCAAACAAAAAAACAAAAAAGCGCAAACAAAAACCTTCAAGCCCAACACCCCGCCCCCCTCCCCCCCAAAAAAAAGCAAAAAAAATGAAAAAACAAAAAAACAATAGCCCTCCAAGCTCTACAAGCTCAAAACGCTTTTCTGGGAGGCTCCGGCAGTAGTGGTTAAAAGCGGCTTTGATGCAGACCTGGGGAGCACAAAGGGGGGAGCTCCCATGGGCACTTGATAAGCCTCGAAGGGTTTAGGGTTTGGGGTTTTGGGTGCAGGGTTTAGGGTTTACTCCTAGATTTCTCAAACTCCCCAAGCCCGAAACCTTATCCATCTAAGGGCTTGGTGAGGGCATGCTGAGCAAGGGCTGATCTTTCGGGCATTCCTGGCCGCGATCCTTTTATGTCTCTCTAGCAAAGAACTTGTAATACAATTGCTTAAGACCCTCCCCCCGCCCCCCCCCCCCCCCCCCCCCCCCCCCCCCCCCCCCCCCCCCCCCCCTCGGAAAAAAAAAAAAGAATAAAACAAAAGGGACAGTCATCCCTGTACGGCCCTTATCAGGATCTTTCTTTTTTTTTTTTTTTTTTTTGGGGGGGGGGGTTCTTGAGCAAACAGTTGTATACATGTGCATATGGACACGCATACAAGGACTATCCTATGGGTTTATACATGCAACACGAGTGGGGGAGGGGAGGGCGGCTTGTGGCCTTATAGGGTTTGAAGGGAACTACTTGGAGGTTCATGGCACTTATTAACCAATTATAACAGTACTTAGAACTGTACTTATAACCATATTAGGAATCTTAAGGGGCTTACAAGTGGGTTATAAGTACAGTTGTGATTGGTTAACAAGTACCATGAACCTCCAAGTACAGTTCAGGAGGCTTCGCAACTCCCAAACTCGAGGCCACGCCAGACATGGACTACAGAGTCGGGGGACCGTGTTTGGTGTTTAGGGTTTAGGCTTTGGGGGTTTAGGGTTTAGGGCTTAGGGTTCAGGGGGTGCACGCTTTGTTTCTTCCGGGGCGCCGGCATCAAAATCGATAGCGCCTGCCTGCTGGAGCTCGATGATGCCTTGAGGGATTAGGGTCTTTTTGTTTGTGTTTTTTTTTTGTGGGGGGGAACCCCGAAACTCTAAAGGGTCTGCATGGCCACGATGGCGGGCAATTCGGCTTCGGTTGGGGGGGGTGAGGGCTAGGAATTAGGGTTAGATTGCTGTGAGTGGGTGGGGGGGGGAGGGACTTTTGGTTTGAATGAGGGGCTGGGGACTTCATCCCAACCTCTAAAACTGCACAGGAGCTTTACTATGGGTAAACTTTGTTGAAGCTCGTCAGCAACCTAAGGAGTAGGCAATGGCTTGCCTAAGGTCCTCCTTACAAATCCTGCAGGAACCCTCAGAAATGGCAGGATAAAGACAAAATTGGCCCAGCTTCGCAGGCCCATGACCAAACTTTCATATCGTTTACCTTGTATTTATTAAAGGTTCTGCTCATCGGGTGTAAGGAGCCAAGGCTGCGGAAACATGCACACTGCTTTTGGGTTACCTCGCGAGCGAAACGGTCACAAGCTAGAGACAAAGAACGAGACACTTCAGAACCTAAGCCCGAAAACATCGTTAACAACTCCGCCCTACACACCCCTAATCCCTAATCCCCAAACCCTAAACCCTAAATCCTAAACCCTTAAAATCCCCTAAGCCGAACCCTGTGCCTTTGATCATCTTCAGCGCTTTGAACTGCTCCGCCTCGCTCATCCTTTGTGGCCGGCTGGGCATCTTACTAATTGCTTAAGAACCCCGAAAAAACAAACATATTCTTCCTTATTAAGGGGAATAGAGGGCTTTTTGTTATTTTACTCTTTTGGGGTTCTTAAGCAAACGGTGGGCATAATGCTACCGCAAGCACTTTCAGGGAATATAAGTTATATAAGGGCCGTGGCAGGAGTACATTAAGGGAGCCTCTTAAGGGTAGATCCGGTTACATCCTCAGGGGCACGAGTCTTAATCCCTTGATTGCGGGGCTTCGGGCCGCAGGTTTTACGGTTTTCTTCGGGGTTTAGGGTTTCTGGGGTTTAGGGTCGCAGGTTCAGGGTTCATTTTTCAGGGATAAGGTTGCTGTCTCAGGCCTTACGCGTTCGGGCTTAGAATCCTGATCCATAAACCAGTCTGAATCGGAACACTTGCAACCCCCAAGCAGGGTTTAGGGTTTAGGGTTTAGGGTTTAGGGAGGAGTTTGGGTCTAGGGAGATGATCTGAACAGCCATGCGCCTCGAAGACGGTCCTCGGCCTAGGCCTACATCATATGTACTTGGGCCGCCCCCTCCCCCACGTGCAAAAAAAAAAAAATCATGTCACGGACCATGAAGGGCGACGGGCGCGCTGCCTCCCTGTTGCGCTGCCTCCCTGTTGCGCCCCACCCAAGCAAAACCGACCTCTAACCGCTGAAACCCATTGATAAAGCCTTGATCAACCTGTCAGAAACCTATCGAACCCCTTGCAGAAACCTATCCACTGCCGCCCTAACGTAAAAAAAGCTTGGAAACCCAGAAAGAACAGCAACAACCCTACAGTAAGCACCCGGCGCGTCAAGCTGCTCAAAGAAGCCAGAAGCATCCTAATACGGTGGGCTGAGGTCAAGGGATGTAGGGTTTTAAAGGGTTTAGGAGGCGGTATATGATTTAGGGCTTGGGGCTTGGGATTTCGGGTTTAAGATTTAAGGTTGAAGATTTAAAGGGTTTATCAGGGTTGAGGACTTACCCCGCCTCCCGCCCCACCCCAGGGTTTCCCCCGCCCCCGCCATGGGTGGTGGTTGGGGATAGGGTTTCGGAATTAACCCCACAGGTGGTGGTTTAGACTTCTGGGGGTTATAGGGTTGCCCCCTCTCCCCCTGGGTAGGTGGTGGTTGGTTGGGGCCAGTGTTTGGCCATCTGCGGGGGGTTGAGTCCAGTGACTCTATAGTGTTTCGGGTTTAGGACTTTGGTGCTTTAGGGTTTCGGAGTTCAAGGTTTCGGGCTTGCACCAACACACAAACAACCACCGCAGTCCTTGCGGAAGGACTCGTATTGCTGCGGTGCGAACTCCATGTAGTCCGAGAAGTATGCCTGCAAAGCAGGGCCAAAAGGGCTTAGGTTTAAGGTTCAGGAGGGCTGGGGAACAAGCAAAAAGTGCCCAACAACAACACTCAAAACGCCCGTGCTGCACGTAGACTTACTGCTGGCTGGCATGAAGGAAGGAATCGGGAACTACGGCTGCGCTTGTTGCTACTCCCTCTGTTCCTCCCAATCACCAGTAGGCGAGAAGACTTGGGTGGGGCGGGGGGGGATTATCTAAATTATGGGCCCTTTCTGGGCACTCTGTATACACATGTATGTACGTATATGATATGTATATATATATATATATAGAAAAATTGAGGCTCTGTAGCTCTCTCTCTCTCTATATATATATATATATATGCTCACAAAAACCCACAAATGAAGCCTGTAGCATCAACAGGATAATCGAAACTTGGCTGCACTCAGGAGAGTAGCTATAAATTAAACTTTTGGCTGCCTTAATACGAAACCCAATAATCCCCAAAAAGGTAAGGATCTAAAGTTACAGTAAAGTACCACAAAGTTTAGATATGCTTACAAAAACCCACTAAATGAACAGTCTGTAGCATCAACAGGATAATCGAAAAAAACCCTAAACCCTAAACTCTAAACCCTAAACTCCTAAACCAAAGGGACCTCGACTTAGGGAACCTCCCCTATGCCTGCTTCGCGAACTCGATGCAGTGCAGCGGCCTCAAGCTGGCTCTTTGAAAGCGAGTTCCGAGGATGGCGGGTTTCGGGTTTGGGGTTTAGGATTTAGGGTTTAGGAAATCCTAAACCCCAAACTGTCAAAACCGCAACCCTTATTCCCACTGCCAGAATGGCAGCATCTGGGCCCCCCGCAAGAAAGGGAAACTTCGCAAAGTGCACATGGCTATCTGCGTCTCGTTTGCATCGGTCTCCACGCCATCGTTGTAGCCTGCAGTGCAGAGTTTTTTTTGTTTTTGCTTTTTTCCCCCCCCCCCCCCCGCTTCTTTGGGCCAGGGACTTTCATTTGTTGGAAACCTCCGTTGGCACATAAGTATAGTAACTAAACAACCCAAGCCCCGAACTCGAAAAACCCTGCCCCATGTCATGAAACAAAACCCATGCTTTCCTAAAGCTACCCCTACCCAAACCCTAAACCCTAAACCCTAAGCCCTAAACCCTAAACCCTAAACCCTAAACCCCACACCCTAATGAAAAAGAGCTTCGGGGCCCCTATAGTTCCACAATAGCCGGTCCTACAACCGGGGCGTCCTGGGTGACTCTTGAGGGCCGTACTGTTGGTTAGCAGGGAATGGGGGGAATGAGGGTTTAGGGTTTAGGGTTTAGGGTTAAGGGTATATATAGGGCCCTCATTCCCTCATTCCCTGGTAACCAACAGTAAGTTACATGTACCTACAGCAAGGTTCTTCTCTCTCACACCCACACAGCCACCCCCAATTCGTGGGTTCAGGGTTTCATGTGTGTAACCCTAAACCCTAAACCCGTCAGACAGTACAAAAAAGCCTGAGACACTGCTGGAAGGTTCATGAAACTTACGAAAGGAGGGATCGCCTTGCTGTGACTTCGGTTGCATGTTAGGGTCAAGGGTATGGCTTATGGGGTTTAGGGTACGTATAGGGTTTAGGGTTTAGGGTTTAGGGCTTAGGGTAGAGGATTTAGGGACCTAACCAAGGAACTCTGCTTGCAACTAGGGGAGGCTCCCCTTGTTGCGAGTTTCAAGTTGGGTTAATTGCGCGTCCAGATACGGGGAATCCCTAAAACCCAAGCCCCAAGTCAACAAGGTATCATTTATGAACCTCATTTACAACGAGCGAGTAATCTGGACCCAAGAGTCACCTGAGAATAATAAGGGGCGCCAGTTTGGCTAAAAGAGGCTAACTAGGGGAACCCAGAAGCCCCCCAAACATGGGAATAAGGGCCACTCTGGGTCCTAGTAACTTACACCCCTAAACCCTAAACCCTAAACCCTGTAAACCTGGTACGGGTGCGCTCTGGGCATCCGGCTCTTCGTCAGGCCTGGCAGGAAGACGTCGCTGTTGCACCTGACTTGTGCAGGTACGGGGTTTAGGGTTTAGGGTCCCTGGTTAAGGGCTTTTCGAGGGCCATCTTTTTCAATATGTTAAATGAATCATCATGCTGGTTAAATGATTCATCGTGCTGAAAGAGAGGAGGGGGGGGGGGGGGGCTTGCGGTGTGGGGTTGAAGGGTTTCGGTTGTTTGGGTTTCGTGATTTGACATTTTGAGCAAAGGCCCAACCCTAAACCTAGAATTCGCCTAAACCTACACCTTGAACCGCCAGGCAACGTGAGGCCTAAACCCCCTTGAGGAGCCTGGGGATTCAGACGAGTTCGGAAGGTTTTCGTGGGTTCTAAGGCTTACCTGAAGGCTCCAATGTAGTTCCGTTTTGGGTTACTTATAGGGGATTCTAGTATCCTACCCCAAAAAGGTACTTCTTCGACATCTTGAGCTTCCCGAAGAGTGTCTGCAGTTCCGGCTCAACATCCATTGACTTGAACGAGCTCAAAGAAAGGTCTGACACAGCGAGGCCCTCCAACTCCAGCGGCTGCTTTTTCTCCAACTTCTTTCCTGGCTCCGACCCCACTACGAAACCAGCTCCTTTGGCGAATGTGGCCTTGTTGAGTTCCGTGATGTTGAAAAACTCCATGAACCGATCGTCACTGGGTGACTTGCGGAACTTCAGGCTGCCTCGTTTCAGGCGGGCGATCGCCTCGTCCTTTCCGAATTTCTTCTTGATCTGCCTGCAATGCATACTTCATTGCAAACGTCGCGGACAACATCCACGCTCATTGTTTCACAGTGCTGCCTGGAGGGCAGGTGAGCAATATTTCATGGGCTTGGTACTCGCCGGAACCAAGCCAGGACTTTGGCTGCAGGGTTTAGGGTTCATAGGGTTTAGGGTTTAGGGTTTAGGGTTTAGGGTTTAGGGTTTAGGGTGTAGGATTTAGGGTTTAGGGGTCTTTGATCATGGCAGCTCGGCCCGATAAGGAGACGCAGACATCTCTGGCCGCATCTGTGTCAGCGCAGAACACTACACTGGTTCATAGTTGGGATAGTAATAAAAATTTAAATTTTTATTCTTTTTGAGTTTAAGTACCCTTAAGAATGTAAAATGTTATCCCACTATGACAAAGTACAGGTCTTTCACTCAGCTGCTGCTCAGAGTCTCATGGCGGGGCGTTGCGAGCCCAGGGCTCAGGGTTGAGGGTTTAGAGTGTGTGTGTGTGTGTATACGTATATACGCAAGGGATTCTATTGGAGTCTGCAGGCCTTAATGTATACTTAGTTGCTGAGTTCATAAGCCCCGACAAAGTGTACACTTTCAGTTCTATAGGGGGATATAGTATCCCAACAAGTGTAAAGTGTGCTCACTCAGCTACTAAGTTTCCAAAAGAAGTGGCGGTACTTAGAGGTTCAGGGTGCGTATAACCCCAATGATAACTGTACTTATAAGCCCCCTAAGTCCCCTAAGTCTTCTAAGTAGGTGATTAGTCACCCTAAACCCTAAACCCTAAACCCTAAACCCTAAACCCTCAGTTTATGGTCTTGGGTTGGGGTTCAGGGCTTTTGGGGCCCAGGGTGTCCTGAAGCCAGTCAAGACCAAGCCACGGCAGTGACATCATGCTTGGAAGGACGAGTGTAGGGTCTTTAGGGTTTAGGGTTTAGGGTTTAGGGTTCAGGGTTTAGGGTTTAGGGCTTAGGGTGTCACGTCATCACGATATCATGCGGATAAGGCTGGGACTTCGTTCCCAGTGTGCCTGACCTCAGCTCGAGCCAGGTCGCAGTGGTCTTGGGGCAACGCAGCGTATGCTTGAGGCCCAGCCCTAAACCCTAATTAGACCCTAAACCCTATACCCTAAACTCTAAACCCTAAACCCTAAACCCTGAACCCTGAACCCCAAGCCCATAGACCTTAACCCTAAACCCTAAACCCCTGGGGCTGCGGGGCCCCATGGGATAGACATGCGCGTACACCCGCTCCCAGCACACTTTCAACCCCATCGAGCACTGAAAGAAAGAATGAGCCCCGAACCTTGTCCTGTAGACCCTAAACTCATGGGTTCCCTCAGACTAAGGAACCCATGAGTTTACCCTAAACACCCCCTAAATCCCCTAAATCCCCCTAAGCCCCCTAAACCCTAAACCCTATAGGGGTTTAGGGTACCCCCCTCTATACTACCCGCCCTCCTAGGTTCCCCCCTTGAACAACCTTAATTCTAGGCCCCTAAATAGCCTAATTATTGGGGGGATCCTAGGGGGGTAGTATAGAGGGGTGTACTAGGTGAACCCATGATAGACCCATTTAACAAGCCCTGAAAGCCTGACCTTTAAAAAAAACACGATAAACCCTATAAGCCCTGTAAACCCTATAAACCCTATAAACCCTACAAACCCTACAAACCCTAGAATTATAAACCCTGCGAGCCCCAAACCCTTAACACTATGAACCCTAAACTTACAAACCCTATAAGCCCTAAACCCTTGGCATATAAACCCTAAACTTCTGAACCATATAAGCCCTACACCCTTGACACATAAACTCCCACAAAAACGCCCCAACGACTGCGCTTGGCATCTTCCCGAGCAACTACGTAAGCCCACTGAAGCCACGAAGCCACAAGCGCGATAAACCTTCGACCCTCACACTAAGCCCTTTAACTAGAAAACCGGAGTCCAATAAACCCAACAAACCTACTAAATCCCATACCCCCAGTAACCCCCAATAGCCCCAAAAACTCCCTAAACCCTACGAACCCCTTAAACCCTAAACCCTAAACCCTAAACCCTAAACCCTAAACCCTAAACCCTAAGCCCTAAGCCCTAAGCCCTAAGCCCTAAACCCTGAACCCAATAAACCCCCATCCTTGAGGCGCGGGCTCAAGCAAAGGCAGGCCTGGGCACCCGAACATGCGGGTAGTTCTGCAAGTTAGGGTTTAGGGTTTAGGATTTAGGGTTTAGGGTTTGGGGTTTAGGGTATAGGGTTTAGGGTTTGTTGGGGTCCCTTTTAGGGGCGATCCTTGCAGTTTAGGCTTTGTATTGGGGGTAGTGTCAGGGTACATATTGGAAATCCCGAGCATAGAAGCGCTGCTTGGGGTGCTATAGTATAAGGGTACCAGAATTCACAAAGGACCCAAATTATGCAGGGGGGGAGCTGGGTTTAGGGCATAGAGGCCTTTGATGACCCCCCCCCCCCCCTCGAACTAAATATTCTCTTGTTCTCTATCTCCTTGTCTATACCGCCCGTAGAACCTTAATAAAAAAATATGCTGAACATCCTCTTGGGCTTTAAATAAGCAAAATACAAAAAATTATTCTCAAGGGGGATATAGTCGTGTACCATGAACATCTAAAACTCAGCAGTGGTTTCGCTTTTACTGGAGAGGACCCAGATGGCTAGTTTGAATAAACGATGGTCCCCTTCTAGTGCCCTAAACCCTAAACCCTAAACCCTAAACCCTAAACCCTACTATGCTAGGGCTACTAAGGACCGGCAGCATAAACCCAGAAGCACTAAACTCTTGCCTTAATCCCGAGGAAGCCCCTCAAACATCTAAGGGTCCCGCCGTACCACAAGCAGCACTTGTCCGTGTACCTCCGAGGATGTGGGGCTTAGGGGAGGCTGGGGAGGTTTAGGAGCCAGCACCCTAAACCCTAAACCCTAAACCCTAAAACCCTAAACCCCAACCCGTAAACCCTAAACCCAAGGCTTTCGGGTTTAGGCTTTACGGCTTAAGGGGCCCTGCATGCATGCTTGCATCTTGACAACAGGGACTCTCTTGTACAACTTACCTTCATGGGGCTAGTAGTGTAGAGCGAAGAGTTCACCTCAATAAAGACCTCGAACTAGACTCTGTAGACGATATCTTGTAGCACGGGCACTTGCGGGCAATGACGTTGTCCAGGGCATTCCAGCAGAGGTCCTGCGCAACAAAACCCCCCAATATTAAATACTCCCCATATACCAGAATATGCCTATAGTGGGAGATATTGGATACTCCCCATATACCAGAATATGCCTATACTAGGCCTATACTGGGGGCATTTAATATTCGCAGGGAAGCGATGAAACCCAGCACAGCCCCTGGTCTCAGAATCTTCGATCACGGCCTTGGTCCATCAGGAACATGAAGGCCCCTGTAGGCCCAATGGAGCAAAAGCTCTCAAGTCCGAAAGCCCAGAAGCCCCGCGAGCTGACGGAGCTCAAAAAAAGACCCTAATCCGCTTAATAACCCTAAACCCTAAACCCCAAACCCCAAACCCCAAACCCTAAACCTTAAACCCTTACCCTCAACCCAGTCCAGCGACGTCCAGAAGTTGTCATCAAAGAAATCCTGGTCCGAGGCTCTCAGTTCTGGGGCGCGGGACTTGCAGCCGAGGGGTTCGCGGTGTTGCGTTTGGCAGTCTAGGGGTTTGGGTTTAGGCAATTGAGGACTTTGGTATTAGGTGGGTGAGGGTTGTGAGCTTTGGGGTGTTAGCTTAGGTTGGGCTCTATGATGGTGGAGTGCACCCAATCAAGGCTCATCAGATGCTGTATAAGGATTGAACATGTTGGGGGCTCTGTTTTGTTTACCGGGGTTGCTACTGATCCCCTGCACTCTTCGTATATATATATATATACATATATTTATATATACATATATATATACATATATATATAGATTTCCATGTGGTCAGTGCTCTTGAAAACTGCGGTCCCTGTTGGGGTACCTCAAATATTTTGCGCCGTAGTATAACCACCTCTAGCCCCCCGCCCCCCAACTCCCCAACCGCCGACCCACCCCCACCCCGCTAACCCCCACCCCCGACCCCCTGCTGTTTAAGAAACGCCCTAAACCCTAAACCCTAGCCCTAAACCCTAAACCCTAAACCCTAAACCCTAAACCCTAAACCCTAAACCCTAAACCCTAAACCCTAAACCCTAAACCCTACACCCTACACCCTAAACCCTAAACCCTAAACCCTAAACCCTAAACCCTACCCCACCTGCTTTAAGAAACGCCCCAAAAGGCCCGGCCTCAGATGTGACCCCCACGCCCTTCTCCAAGGCTTCGATCTGCAACTCTGGGTTCCAGCCTGCTTTCAAGTGATTTGATTCAAAGAGGTACATTAGGGTTTAGGGTTTAGGGTTTAGGGTTTAGGGTTTAGGGTTTAGGGTTTAGGATTTGGGGTTTAGGGTTTGGGGCTTGAAGTTTAGGGTTCGGTGTTTGGGGAGTTAGGCTATGGGGGTTTAGGAGCTTGAGCTTGAGCTAGAACCGTGGAGGATGTAGGGCTTGTTGAGTTCAGTTTGCAACCCTAAACTTTAGCCATAGACCCCTCAAATTTGGGATCCCTTCGTTTGGGATTCTGTGTAAGCCGCAGACGCCAGCCCTAAACGTCCCAAAAACCTCGAGCCTAAACAACACCAGGCCGCGCCTAACCTCTAAACCCTAAACCCTAAACCCTAAACCCGAAACCCTAAACCCTAAACCCTAAGCCCTAAACCCTAAACCCTAAGCCCTAAACCCTAAACAACCCCAGGCCGCGCGCCTTTCACGACACGTGCTGCGGACGTGCTCTTAGGATTCCTCGGAGATGCTCGCAACTTCTGACTTAGGGTTTAGGGTTTAGGGTTTGGGGTTTGGGGCTTGGGGTTTGGGGTTTAGGGGCTTAGGGGTCTAGGTGTTAGGGGTTTTCGGGTTTATAGGATTTACGGCTTGCCCCCGAAAACTAAAAGTATCAGGGTGCCCTCTTTTGTTTGAAGGGATGTAGAAGGGGATCCCAAGGGAAAGATGCCTCCCTAAACCCTAACCCCAAACCCCAAACCCCAAACCCTAAACCCTAAACCCTAAACCCTAAACCCTAAACCCTAAACCCTAAACCCAAACATGCCAAGCTCTGAACACCCTGAACTCTCGCCTCCAATCGGGACTGGGGCTTGGCTCCGGTGGGTTTAGGGTTTGGGGTTTAGGGGTTTGGGTTTAGGGATTAGGGTTTAGGGTTTAGGGTTTAGGGTTTAGGGTTTAGGGTTTAGGGTCTAGGGTCTAGGGTCTAGGGGTTTAGGGTTTAGGGGTTAGGGGTTTTGGGTTTAGGGTAAGATTCTGGGGTGAGAAACGAAAGTCTTTGGGTCGTTGATGTTCGCCGATCGAGGTAAGCATCAGTCACTGCTCGGGAGCCCCTCCCTCCGTCACTTAGTATTTCAATTTTCGTAGGTTGTAGAATAGGAGGTGCTCTGTTCCTGGACGGGCCTAATCCCTAAACCCTAAACCTTAAACCCAAACCCTACAAGCAGGGACCCCCTTACTATACTAACTATACTTATAAGGGGTCTATAACCTATTTTAGGATCCTTAAAACTCAATCTAGGGCCCTTAGAACTCTACTTAGAACTAGGGAGCCCCTCCTTGTAACCCTAAACCCTAAACCCTAGACCTAAACCCTAAACCCCAAACCCTAAACCCTAACTCCTAAACCCTAAACCCGAAACCCTAAACCGTAAACCCTAAACCCTAACTCTAACCCCTAAACTGGGAAAGGGTTGCGACACCCTCGGCACCCGGCCCGACATCCGTCTGGCGGAAGAGGAACTGACGGCTGAGATTTGACACCTTTCCCCGGGCCCGTCTTGGCTTACTTATAGGGTCCTGAACAATTGGAAGGGGTATTCTAGTCTAACTATAAAGGGACCAGAAGGGAACATTATTGGCAATGATTCGACCCCTATATTGTTTTATAGGGTTTTAGGGTTTATGGGGTTCAGGGTTTTAGGGCTTCGGGTTTTGGGGGTTTGGGGGTTTCAGGGTTTAGTGTTTATCAACTTTTGACCGACTGGGGTCTACCAGGTAGCCAGACCGTAAACAGGTGGAGTTGGAAAAAAGTCATCAAGGGGTGCCCTAATTAACTCTTAAAAACTAAACCCTATAAACCCTAAACCCAAGAAAACCTAAACCCAGTATGGGGCAAGTGTAATCCGCTAACCTGCACGGGCGGTAGCGAGGCGCTCATCACCCCGCAAGAAAGGAAATAAGGGCCTATTCTGGGTCTAAGTACACCCCCTCCCCCCCCCCCCCCCCCCAAACAAAAAAAAAAACAACAACGACTACAAAGCCCTGAAGCCCCCAACCACTAGCCCGCCACCCTGGCCCTAAAGCCTTAACCCTAAACCCTACACCCTAAACCCTGCACCCTATACCCTAAAACCCTGAACCCTAAACCCTTCGAACCCCCACATGGTGGCATTGCGCAGGAATGCGCACTGGGGCCGCGGGATGCGATGGCTCAGGTATACAGGGTTTGGGGTTTAGGGCTTAGGGTTTGCGGGTACTTTGGGTTGCTAGAATTCTTACCCCTAAACCCTAAACCCTAAACCCTAAACCCTAAACCCTAAACCCTAAACCCTAAACGCTTCTTACGGACTTCAGAATTAGATCCCGGGAAGTATTTCGGAAGTATAGGGAGCCAATCCCGCAATTCGGGGTTTAGCTACGTGTTTCATGGCTGAGGTCGAATGCCCGACAACTACCAAACTCTTTGCCATAGAAGGGTACCCTAAACCCTAAACCCTAAACCCTAAACCCTAAACCCTAAACCCTAAACCCTAAACCCTAAACCCAAACCCTAAACCCTAAACCCTAAACCTACGATCTAAGTCTACGCCCTCGGCTGCAGGACTCCACCGCACACATGACGCCGGCTGTTGTTTGCTGGGCTTCAAGCGTGCGAATGTGGGACTAGGGTTTAGGGTTTAGGGTTTAGGCTAAAACGATCTCCCTACATATGCTATCAACCTCTGCAAGATCTAAGCCTCCAGGACACGCTACTAGTAGGTAGGTCGAGGGTTTAGGGTGGAGGGTTCAGGGCTTCCCCCGGAGTGAGGGTTGAGATTTTCGGGGTTCCGCCTATGTCGGAGACTTTGGATTAGAGTGAGCAGTGAGTGTAGGGTAGAGGGCTGAGAGTTTACGATTTAGGGTGCAGGGTGTGGGAGTTGCGAAGCCCCCTTAAACGGAAGGAGTCCGGATTCTTTTCGACTTCAGAGCTCGCTGGCCATCTTTAGATCAGACGTGTGCACAACAATGCTCAACTCCATATCCTCGAACCGCAGAAGTTCACTCGACAAAGGCAACGATGTCAAGGTCTGGTTGAAAGCATCTCCGAAGCTCAAGGACTGCAAGCTGCCTGGCAAAACCACATTCTCCAGACTTTGGTTGAAAGCGCCTTGGAAGCTCAAGGACTGCAAGTTGCCAGGCAAGACAACATTCTCCAACCCCGTGTTGAAAGCATATCCGAAGTGCAAGGACTGCAAGTTGCCAGGCAAGACAACTTTCTCCAAGCTTTGGTTGAAATCGTTTCCGAAGCTCAAGGACTGCAAGCTGCCAGGCAAGGCCACGCTCTCCAAACTCTGGTTGAAAGAGCTTCCGAAGCTCAAGGACTGCATGTTGCCAGGCAAGGCCACATTCTCCAAACTCTGGGTAAAAGCATACCCGAAGCTCAAGGACTGCAAGCTGCCAGGCAAAACCACATTCTCCAGACTTTGGTTGAAAGCGCCTTGGAAGCTCAAGGACTGCAAGTTGCCAGGCAAGACCACATTCTCCAACCCCGTGTTGAAAGCATATCCGAAGTGCAAGGACTGCAAGTTGCCAGGCAAGACAACATTCTCCAAACTCTGGTTAAAAGAATGCCCGAAGCTCAAGGACAGCAAGCTGCCAGGCAAGGCTACATTCTCCAAGCTCTGGTTGAAAGCATATCCGAAGCTCAAGGACTGCAAGCTGCCAGGCAAGGCCACACTCTCCAGACTTTGGTTGAAGGCGCCTTCGAAGCTCAAGGACTGCAAGTTGCCAGGCAAGACCACATTCTCTAAACTCTGGTTAAAAGAATACCCGAAGCTCAAGGACAGCAAGCTGCCAGGCAAGGCTACATTCTCCAAACTCTGGTTGAAGCGATGCCCCAAACTCAAGGACTGCAAGCTGCGAGGCAAGGCCACATTCTCCAAGCTATGGTTGAAACCGTTCCCGAAGCTCAAGGACTGCAAGCTGCCAGGCAAAACCACATTCTCCAGACTTTGGTTGAAAGCGCCTTGGAAGCTCAAGGACTGCAAGTTGCCAGGCAAGACCACATTCTCCAACCCCGTGTTGAAAGCATATCCGAAGCGCAAGGACTGCAAGTTGCCAGGCAAGACAACTTTCTCCAAGCTTTGGTTGAAATCGTTTCCGAAGCTCAAGGACTGCAAGCTGCCAGGCAAGGCCACGCTCTCCAAACTCTGGTTGAAAGAGCTTCCGAAGCTCAAGGACTGCATGTTGCCAGGCAAGGCCACATTCTCCAAGCTATGGTTGAAACCGTTCCCGAAGCTCAAGGACTGCAAGCTGCCAGGCAAAACAACATTCTCCAGACTTTGGTTGAAAGCGCCTTCGAAGCTCAAGGACTGCAAGTTGCCAGGCAAGACCACATTCTCCAAGCCCGTGTTGAAAGCATATCCGAAGCGCAAGGACTGCAAGTTGCCAGGCAAGACAACTTTCTCCAAGCTTTGGTTGAAATCGTTTCCGAAGCTCAAAGACAGCAAGCTGCCAGGCAAGGCCACATTCTCCAAGCTCTGGTTGAAAGCATCTCCGAGGCTCAAGGACTGCAAGCTGCCAGGCAAGGCCACACTCTCCAGACTTTGGTTGAAAGCGCCTTCGAAGCTCAAGGACTGCAAACCCTTTGGCAGTTCAACATTCTCGAGAACGTGGTCACCGTACAGCGTCAACGAAGAGATTGCGTCCTTTGCATCTACGTCCATCACGCTCAGGCGTTGGCCGTCTCTGGCTCGCAGAAACGCAGCTGCAGCGCGCCCTGCACCAACCTAGGTTCGTTTTTCACACCTCCGACAACAATACTAAAATAGGATCGCACCCTACAATGAGGGAAACATCAACGCGGCAAGGGCAACCTGTTGAATCACATACGTGATGACATCGCCTTGAACTTGATCCCACAGCGGTTTGGAATCGTCCAGGGCATTGCCGCCAGCCGTCAGGACAAGCATGCCACCTAACCGCAAGCCGATCCTGCCTGCGACGCTCTTGCGAAAGTCTTGCACGGACATGTTATCTTCAAGAGGAAGATGCACTTCCTTAGTAGCCCAGTAACCATATTGTAATAATGGCACCCTTTTTTGGGTTGGTTACTTTATAAGGGCCCAAAAAAGGGAAAAGGGCACCACTGGGCAACCAAGCTTCTGAACCATCCAGGCCACAGAGCGTCAACTGTCGGGCGGCAATTGAGGCCATCAAACTCGTTATGGCACTGCCGGAGGACCTTCCGTCCTTCTTCCTTGGGGACCAAATGAACCTTAAAAGGGTTTATGGTCCATATACCTCAATAGGAATTATCGTAGTATAACCCACTCGTGCCGCTCGAGCCAGGAGGTCACTATTTTACTACTGTGCTATCTACTACTGTAACTTCTCGAAGTGCAAGGAATACCTCGGTTCCTATTCACTTTAGAAGGAAGTCCTCTGCCCCCCCCCCCCCCCCCCCAGCAGTTTGCATCTCGAAAACCCACACCTGTGCCGGTTGAGCCAGCAATTCATTGTTTTACTACGCTCCTATTTTCCTCGAAATTCAGAGAATTCCTCAGCTCCGATTCAGTTAAATAAGAAATCCTCCACGCTCCCAGCGGCGCTCCGGCTCCTCTCAAAACCCTAAAGCTCAGCTCATCTGAACTTTACCCTGAGCCCTTTTGACCCTAAGATCAACGTCTAAGCCCTCGGCTGCAGGACTCCAGAAACATTCGCCCCACACACACACACACACGACGCCAGCTGTTGTTTGCTCTAAGGTGTCGGGCTTCAAACGTGCGAAAGTGGCTTATCCCCTAAGACGATCTCGTTACCTGTGCTCTCAACTTCTGCATAGCCCCCGCGAGACCCAAGCCAGCAGGACACGCTACTGGTAGGTCGGTCGAGGGCTTAGGGTGGAGGGTTCAGGGGCTTCCCCCTAAGTGAGGGTTCGGATTCTTTTCGACTTCAGAGCTCGCTGGCCGTCTTTAGACCAGACGTGTGCACAAGAATGCTCAAACCCATACCCTCAAATTGCAGAAGCCCACTCGACAAAGGCAAAGATGTCAAGCTCTGGTTGAAGTCGTGCCGCAAGCTCAAGGACTGCAGGCTGCCGGGCAAGGCCA